TTATCCCGAGTGGGGTCACTAGGGGTGCCTATGCCTATCTCCAGCAGTCAATGGGTGAAAGGCAGGGTACACCCTGGACAGGTCGCCAGTCCCTAGCAGGGCAACACAGAGACAAAGAGGTCAAACATTCACACACACACTCACACCTAAGGGAACTGTCAATTAACCTAACAGTCATGTTTTTTGACTGTGGGAGGAAGCCAGAATACCCGGAGAGAACCAACGCATGCTCAGGGAGAACATGCAAACTCCATGCAGAAAGACCCCAGGCCAGGAATCAAACCTAGAACCTTCTTGCTGCAAGGCAGCAGTGCTACCCACTGCTCCACTGATCAGACCTCATCCCAAATAACTTATCTAAAATAAAGCAAATTATAAAAGCCTTTGGTGTTATCAATTTATTTGCCAGTTTTTTTGTTTAATGATGGAGTCATTAAGAAACGATTCCTTCGCCAACATAGTAGTTTTACCTAGATGTAACATTCTCAATAAAAAAATTGTAATGAACACACGGAGCAGAAAACAATCAACACGCTTTAAGTTTTTGTTTATCGCAATTCACATCACATCATCACAAATGCACCGTTTCCTTATATCCTGCGTCTCAATCAATATGTTTGGATCCAGCTCTGTGTGGACAGACAGCTTCTTTAGCTATGACCTTTTGTGGCCTTTCCTCTTGGTGGAGGTGTCAATGACTGTCTGCTGGACAACTGTCGAGTCAGCAGTCTTGCTCACGATTGTGTAGACAATAACATGACCACAGCATAACATTTCTGTCCTTTTTCTTTTTAGCTGTAAAAAAAGACAATATTCTCAGGAACTGAATGTTAGATTTCATTAGGTGTAATTCGTAGTGATCAAATGTCTGAAATATGATCATACTTTTGAATTGGATAACAGATTGCTTCAATATCCTTCACATGTATAAAATGTTAAGCCTTTTTTTAAAAGTTTAGTACCCTCAGACACCACCAATGCAAAAAGTGAAACATTTAGCAAGCTTTTGTGTTAAATGTAGAAAACCAGTCAGAAGCAGATTTATACAAACCTATTCTGCACACTGACTAAACCACGTTGCAACAAAAGATGACAGATTCAGTTACTAAATGCTCAGTAACTTAAGATTGCAAATAGAAACCTGTTGTGAGGGGAAAAAGTCCCCCCTCCCTTCACCTTCAGAGTGCTTTCTGTCATCTCCCCTTTCAACCCAGGTGGCATGTTTGTGTTGGCCGTTGTCTAAGGACAGACAGGGTCACGGCGGTATAACCTTGGACAAACAAATATTCATGATCAATAAGGGCTTTATTCTGAGCATTTAAATGATTCTTATCTCCGCCGCTTTCTCTTTGTCCAGGCAAGGCGGGTCTTTTTTTGAAAGATTTATGCAGGCAGGGTAAAGGGACAATTTAAAAGACTACTTAGTATCACTGCTTTCAAATGTCATGTAATCATAGGTTAGGGGGAGAGTGCTGGGCATCGAGGTCTAAGTGATGGTACAGATAATGAATTGCCTCTGAAATATAATACATCCTAAGTAGGATTCTTTGTTCCAAGCTCTGTACACCAACTCGGCACAATTAAAGTTATTTATCTCCCTCGTTTTTTAAGTTCATCAATTATATTTTGATACACTTAATGTTCATAAGAGGATGATGTATGATTGGTCTAATTATTTCTTATTCACCATGCTTTCTAAAGCATATCAATTTTGTTAATACCATGTAATTAAAACACGTCAGGGCGCTACAAGTTGCCGGCTGTATTAATGACTATGAAAATTATTTTAATTAAATAGCCAATTATAGAAAAATCCTAACCATGAGAATTGACATTTAAATGAATTCAATTTAAATTGCTTTTCAACATTGTTTTATCAAAGCTTTATGGGGTGAATAAATTATTACATCAAACAATATACTGTGTCATTGATCATACACAAGTCCTGTCCCATATCCATACATTTTCAAACAGTTTTCCAGTGCTCATTTATCACCCAGGGTGATTACATTCTGACATGGTCATTTGTTTACTGCAATCTCTTCCACATGTACTGTACTTCTGGAAAGAAAAAAAAATATCCGAACTGCTTCTTTAACTTTATAGTTAAAGCTGTCGCACTAGACTGGTTCAATTTGTGATATAGGTTCCTGTGTATTATTTTGTCATGCAGGAATGGTTTGGCCCAATTAAACCAACAAAGGACGGTGGTGAAATGTTCAGAAGCAGTGTGGAAACTGAGCCGTGTTTTGGTATGTTTACCTAAGTTGACATTCAGCGAGTTGCAAAATTATTTATAGGCACAGAAGCTTTTGACGTTCTCTGACATTATGAACACAAACTTTATTGTTTAATTGGCACCTTTAACAAACCAACACAAAGTAGTCCATGACTGTGAAGTGGAAGGAGTTTGCTTTTCGTCCCAGATTGCAAAGGACTCTGCTCTAACTTCCTATCCACAGCTAAAGAAAAGCGTGCCCACGGATTATACTCCCTTTGCTCATATCAGCTCTACTAACATGATGCTGCCACTACCATCTTTTACCAGTAGGGGTGGTGTGTTACAGTTGATGTTTGTCCTGCAGGCCAGTCAGTTTTCTTTGCCAAAATACTTTGTATAAGACATCAAATATATCCAAGGTTAATATTTTTTTCATCCATTCTTACAGCCTTCCACAGCATGATGCATCCAGCGCCGTGTTTCGCCACATGGATGCACTACCTCCTACACCCCAGCCAATTTGCTTGAATCCCTTTGAAGTATCACAAATTTATCACGTCTTGCTTTTTCATACCCATTATGCTGCTAAAGCTCTGTGTAATGTTTGCGGCTGTCATTTTTCAGGCATTACAAGTGCAAAGATTTGCCGCTGACCCATGCAAACAAGAGAAATACTGGGCAAACCTTTTGTGACATTCATTGTATATAATGAAATCTTAATATGTTGCATATTTAAGTGAAAGGTTAGCATCATAAAGGGCAAACGGATTGCCTGGCAATGAATTTTAAGCAGCTATTGATTTTACACTACAAGCTCCCTTCTTCTCTGAATGATAATTTTTTTTGAAATTGCACTCTGCTTATCTTAAGGCTTCGGTGGGAAGTAGTAGATTTTAAGACAAAGAAGAGACTGAAAACCCAAAATATTATACAGACCAAACCGATTCCCCCCAATCATAAAACACCTGTTAGCCGAAGTTGATTTGAAAACTGGGATATTATAGAATTATGTATATACTATATGTAGGTGGGAAGAAAACACTGCTAGAGTTCGAGACTTTAACCTTTCTTATACCTCTTGATCCGTTTGGAAATATAAGTGCTGAGAACTTTTATAAACAACAAGCTCTAAATACTTATTCTGTAACTGACGGTTGTTTGTCAGCCTAATATTGAGAGTTGCTATAAGATGTGTAACTGTAAAAAGATCTAAATATATTCCATTATTAGCCACTAAAGCTTTGCTTTTCATCCCCTCTTCAACTTTGTCTGGAGAATCTAAAAGAGTGAGATGTTACTGTTGTGGCTGGATAAAGTTTGATTCAAAATTCCGCTACATTTGGTAGATTAAGAAAATAAACCATGCTGTACTTTTTCTTGAGACAGGGTTTTATATTGCTCATTGCCCAGGGGCCCTGCAAAGCAACGTAGTTATTTGGGGGAGCTTTAACTTCCCCATAGCACTAACTCTGTGTTCTCTGTCCATCAAATATTAAGTTATTTAGCTTCTTGCCCTTATTTATATATTTGCCTGTTATTCCTACTCAATATTACAGCCCTTATGTGGGTTTAAATAAGTAAAACTGGGAATTTTATAGCTTTATATTGTGAATGGAGCTTTAATGAAACGGTCAGATTGGAGTGAAAATTTAAAGTCCATATTTAATCTGTGGTCTCAGGTTTGCATAAGTTTACAATTAGCTACTGCACAGAATGTCTCTGTCATGCACAAAACATTTAATTTATGTAAAGCATATATTTGTAGTATAAACTTCAGTCAACTGCCAGATAATTGGGCATTTTCTCTAATCAATGCAAGACAATCAAAAACTGAGATGAATAAGTGTCAACACCCTAAAACTAGTGCATTGTGGAAGGAGCTTTACTTAATATATTTAGAAAAGTCTACCAGATTGTGAGGACATGACATGTACACATCCCTTTTCAGGTGACTCCACAGCTTTTGTGTCAGATTATTTTATAGGTTTTTATCATATAATTTGGGCGCATTTTTGGCTTTAACACAATGCTTGAAAATAAAAATCAATCTTAATCTTTTTAAAATATGTTTTTGGTATTGTTTTTTGAATTTCTTGATTTTTTTCCTCTTAGAAAACGACACAAAAAACAAAAAGAAAGTAGAAACATCACCCTGACATAACGAGGATGCCATTACCGTGTTTCATTGTGGGTATGGTGCATTTAGTGATGTGCTGAAAAAAAAACAAAAAACAATGTTTGGAATTATGGCCAAAAGATTTAATAGTTGTGCCAGATCATAACACACCTGGGTGCCATCTTTAGAGGAAAATGTTTATCTCTCACTTTACTCCAGACATATATAGAATAGAGCGGATTGTTATTACAGGACGAATAACACCGGTACTTTCTATAAATCCCTGCAGCTTCATCACAGCCTGTCTGACAAGTTTCCATCTTTATGAATTTATCCATTATACTTTCCAAAGAAACCTCTAGATCCATTGTAAGTTTTTTATATAAAATGTAGTGGAGTTTCTTTATACCCTTCTCTTAAATGACCACTTTTTACAATACAAATGTTTCAATCCTTTGAAACCTCTCTGCTAACCATGCATTTGATTACAGTCTGCAATCAAATGTCAGATTGTTGGACAGTCAAACTTTACTTCAGGTAAAACATATTAATTAAAATCCATGACAGGTTTAAACTTAAGCAGACAGACCAATAAGCTTTAATACAAATGTACTTTTACACAGTGTTACAATGCATTGCATTAGATATTTATATTTGGCATCACCCCGTTTACACATCCCATGGTCTTTTCAGTTGGAATATGCAGGATATGGGTCACATTATTTTACAGCAAAATAAATATAATATTAACAGAGGCGTAAACACTTTTGAGGACTAGTGCTTAAATCATCTGCTTCCTGTTCTTTTTTTTGTAGCTGTTTCTCCAAAGAAAAAGCACAATGTGTTTGTCAAAACAATAGCAAGCAAAGGCCAATTAAATAAGGAATGTTATCAGTGAGTCATACAGGACATGAAACAGAAAACAGGACAGCCTTGTTTAAAAAATAGAAAATCAAAAGGCAATACATTTATTCAGTATTAATTTAGATCTGGAAAAGATTTTCAGAATGCTGGAAAACTTATTGCAGAAGCACAAAAAAAAGGGCTAACATCTCTATTTGATCTAAAAATGACATAGTTCTGTGTTGAGTTAATGAGTTATTAAAGCAGAGCTGAAACATTTCGGAAAAGCAGAGAACAGTTAGTTTTGTGTTCTTCAAAGGCTCCCACTGTCCCCTAGCTCCTCCCTCTCTGCACCGTGTGACAACAACAACTCATCCACAGAGCGGTGCTGCACTTTTCAGCTCATTTTCCTCCTGTCATTCCTCCTCCTATCTTTGATCATTGTCCCCCTTCAGAAAAAAAAGAGAAAAACTCACTCAACACGCCTTTTTTTTTCTACTCTGGCTTTTTTTTTTTTTTTTTTTTTTTCTACTTTCTAACTTAACTGAGGAGCTAAACTCTGAAGGATTCTTTCATTTAGGGGTGTCTCTGCAGGCTGGCTTTTTTTTACTTTGAACTTCGGGCTGCTCTCCTAGGTGACCATGGCCGTACCGGCTGCTCTCATCCCACCAACTCCGCTCGTCCCGCCGCCTCCGATCTCTACTCCCTCCGCCACCACCTCTCCGCCGTCCACAACTTCGTCCCCGTCTCCATCCCTGGCTCCGCCATCGGGAGCCGCTCAGAACCTGTTCAGATCGGAGCTCCTCGCCACCAGCAGTCCGGGCATGCCGACCCCGAGCGCGGCTCTGCCCCCGAGCAAACCCGTCTACTCGACCCCGTCGCCCGTCGAGAACATCCCGCAGAACAACGAGTGCAAGATGGTCGAGCTGCGCGGCGCAAAGGTGGCTTCGTTCACCGTGGACGGTTGTGAGCTCATCTGCCTCCCGCAGGCGTTCGACCTGTTCCTGAAGCACCTGGTCGGCGGGCTGCACACGGTCTACACCAAGCTGAAGCGACTGGAGATCACGCCGGTCGTGTGCAACGTGGAGCAGGTCCGCATCCTCAGGGGGCTCGGCGCCATTCAGCCCGGGGTGAACCGCTGCAAACTCATCTCCAGAAAGGACTTCGAGACGCTCTACAACGACTGCACTAATGCGAGGTGAGTGCGGGGCTCCGCGGCGCGCGTCCTCCCGTGCGTAAAGGCGCAGCGCCCTGCAGGGGATGCGGAGACCGTCTTTATTTCCACATGCAAAAAAAACAAACAAACAAAAAAACACACACATCTGCATCAAGCAACTTCTCCTGCCATCCCTGTTTACATTTATAAATTGGTATGATGACTGACTGAGAGGAAAGTTAACGGAGATCGCAGGCTGTGTTGTGCGCCTCAGCAGTTAAAAAGTTGAGGGAAAGTTTTTAACACGTGCAAATCAAAAGCTGTGACATGATGGATCAAGCCTGTCCGCTGCTTGGCCAATAAATCGATAATATGGGCGTTGAATAAACAGCACATTCAAACCTTCCACTTAAATGAATACAGTAAATAATCTTTTTAAATGTCAATTTCCCCCTTTAGACCCATGCAGCTCTATTTTCCAAGATGACTGTGATAAGACCAGGTTAGGTATCCTTCTAAGTCTTTGCCATTGGGCAATTAGAATTCAATTAGGGCAATTAAAATTTGCAGAAAGCAAACAAATGGATAAAAAAACAGCACAATAATTGTGTTATATAGTTTTTTGTTTTGCAACAAAATAATGGACTCCACACTGAAATTAAAACAGTGTATTAAAATTATTTGTGAATGCATATAATTAATTCCATCAAATTAACATTAGAGATTCTCTTTCACTTAAATGCACTTTATTGCAATGAAATGCAAAAATAGGAAGATTTCAACAAATGTGTACATTACATCATACAAATGAAGCAATTTAACCTTGATCTGTTTTTGAAAACGGAGTGATTTAAGCACAGATCAATATTGGATTAAAAGCCATTTTTTATTGTCCTGTTGCTCCATGTCTGTGATCCATCGCTCAAGTCTCTCAGGACGGTGGAGCCTGGTCAAATTTACCCTCTTACCTGTCAGTGTGATTGATTCTGTATTGATTTCTCCCTCTTGCATTCAGAGATGAGCTGGAAATGCAAATATGATGGAAAGCCTCCACAGAAGTGAAGGGACATGGGAAAATAAAAGCAGTTAAAGTCACTTTGATTTAAATAAGTTTAAATTAGAAAGGTAACAACCACATTCTTATAAATCTGTTTTTTTAAAGCTTTTTTATTAAATGCATCAAAACTTATTTTTTCTTCTAAATGCATCAATTAACATACAGGATGTAAGGTGGTATACATTAGATACATTTTAGGTAAAAGTCTCAGTTTCAGATTAAAGTTATTGTATTTTAATTATGTCTTTTATTTAAAAATGGCTTAAATTCATCGACGGACATATGGGTGTTAATCAGAATCAGTCAGGAAAAGCCGAAATATACATGTCTAGTTTAAAAGCATGCACCCTGTTGTGTTTTTCGCTGCATTAACAGTGTGTGTTAACGTGGAAGGAAAAAAAAAATGCAAATGCAGCAAAGCAAGGTAGAATCAAGATGAAAATATGCCAACAACTCCAGATGTTCTTGTAGAAAATTTTACTGTGATCTTATGGAATTATTTTAAAAGTTGCACCTGTGTCGTTGATGCATTGAAATATTTACAAGAAGCTGCACCTGACTTGAAACAGTCTGCCTCACACACCTCTGTGGAGCTCCCAGCCGCAGCTTCATGTTCCCGTTTTAGCAGCAATTGTCTCAACAGCTCACCTGTGCGCTCTGGTGCTTAAGCATCATTTACATAAAGCATCAAGGGACCCTAACCCCCCCCTCGCCCCCTTTATCTACTGTAAAGATCCTTCGCCGGAGCTCGGCGTGGAGCTTTAGGTGACAAAGTATGTGTCTGAACTCTCCAGGTTGTCAATGGTGGAGCCTGGGGGAGGGGGGGTTTGACCAGCGATGGGGTTAAAGGATAATGCAGTGCCTCACGTCTCTTTAATGACGCTAAAGTGCTGGGCTATTACGGGCACATGGACAGGACTGTAATTGTCTCTGAAAGCAGCCAGGTTCTCCCGGCGCTGGGCTGAAATCAATCACTCAGACCTGGGCCTGCCTGCCTGCCTGCCTGCTTGCCTGCCTGCCCCATTTGGAGAATTACATCATGAAACCGCCGAGGCTTTCGCAGGGATAAAAGGCTTCTTCTGTTGCTTGGAATGAGTTGATTTTATTTGCAAGGATGTGCCACCTCTCGCTCCGTCTCGCCCGCTGATTCGGCTGCTGACAAAATGATCACTTTGAGAAAACAGCAAACAAGTTGCCCCCAGGAGGTGACAACAAGTTTGCCCTTTTTTCCCCCCACTGACTTACAGTTAGATATATTTATATTAAAAAAATAAAAATTAAAGGGAAAAAGTATCTGAGTTCACTGGTTTACCCTGCTCGGGTTACAACAACAACAGCCTGCTGCCTGGACTAGTTCAGCTTTTCATCCCCCCCCCCCTCAATAACACAGTGTCACTGCTCTTTTTTATACAGTGGCACAGTGATAACAATGAAGTGAATAATACTCCTATACAATGGCTCTTACTATTTCACATGCAGTTCTCCCCCCCTCCCTCCTTCTGGTCGCTCTATTGTGCTAAAACAACACTGGTCTCTTTTCTGTGCACACAGTGTGAATGTGAATAGCATCACAGAGCTCCACTCCAGCCTGCTGTTTCAGTTTTGATGTGGACACAAACAAGCCAAGTTGTTCCCTTCTATGCTCGCTGTTTAAATACCTTTAAAGAGTATTGTTTGCTTTTTTTTTGGATGTGTGTGTGTGTTTTGGTTTGTTTAAGTAGATTAAGTCCAAGCTGGGGCAGGTTAGCTTTAAAAAGTTATGGCTTCAAAAAGAACAAAGCAAAAACACAGCGTACGGTTTTTATAGCTTAAACTTCTTTTAATGAGATTCCAGAGAAAATGGATGGCTTGGAAAATGGATTTCTCTGGAATATGGAGCACAGAGGGATGTGTTGCTACACGCTGCCCGTCAGCTGGCTGAAATATAACTACTACATTTTCTTTTTTTGCAGTTTTGAACCATTTCTGACTGCATATATCATATTAGCGATCACTGTTTGGTTGATTTATTTGATTTAATGACTGTGTCTTTATCTGTTTGTGATTTTTAATTCCAAACATCTTTTCAAAAAGCTGAAATTTTCCATCCTGTTGCTCCTAGAATTTAAAGAAATTTTCTCAGGATGACAGAGACAGTGCAGGAGAGAGTGGACGGTGTTTCTTACTGATTGTAAGGCGATTTACATTGTTGCTGAGCTTCAGATCACCTAAAGCACGGCCGGTTAGTTAGCCAGGTGCAAATCTGTTTATCTGCATGCATATGAGCAGACAGGCAAACAAATTAACCAGCTAACATCAACTTGTGTTACTCTGAAAAGAACAGAACATTGAAAATGTTACATATTGTGTGCAATAATTTCAAAAACTAACCTTGCGTCTCATTCCTTTAGTAAAAGCATCTATCTAGTTGGTAGTGGCTGTGACCTGTTAGCAGCCAGGTATGGCACATTCCCTTGATTTTGGGGAATTTCAATCCAATCAATGGTAAAACCTGATCAAGGTAAAGATTTTCTAATTGCAATAATAAGCAGATAAAAACTTACTAGGTTTCGCAGGTGTTTATTATGGATATTTAATGCTTTGCATCGAACTTAAGAGACCCTAACATCATTTTCCCCATTATATACAGTAACAGGAGTAATACATGTCATTTTCAGTTTAAATCGTCACTTCTTTTGATAAGAGGAAAATAAATGGAAAGTTTTGATCCTAATTATTGTGTAAATATGGTAAAATTGTAGTGCTTTCACTTGTTTAATAACAGCCTACCCGCATGTAAATCCTTTAAAAAAGCCAGTGTTTGAATCACCTACGTTCACTTCCAGATCATTACTGCTAATCTTTTAAAAAAATACTAAAAATATAGTCACTTTTAACCTCTTTATTTCCTGAAGGGCTCTTGTGCCAGATTACCGGTGTTCCACACTGATCCAGGTTCAGTAATCTCCCCCTTTACATTATGACTCTGGCCCCTCCAGGAGTCCCCCGCAGGAGCCCCGTGTTTCAGCTACTTGTTTTGCCTTTTCATTCTCCCCGCAGTGGGATGAAGGAAAAAAAAAAAGGTTCTTATTGCTGTGTGACACTTGAACTCTCTGAAAGGTTATTATAACACGGGGGCGGCGCAGAGATATCGCATATCTCTCATTGGTCTGCTTTTTTTTTCTGTGTGTGCAGGCTATCCGATGCCGGGGCAGCAGTTTTAATTGACAATCATTGTCTACCCCTTGAAGGTTAACCACACGCCCTAGACGCCGTCCCACCACTGGGAACGGTCCCGGCTTTTTCACTTACACGCCCTGCTTAAATAGATTTTCCCCGGCCCGTTTCAGTCAGGTCGCAGTAAAACCTTGTTTTCTTTTTATATTTATATAATTGATGCTGATGTGACTAGGAAGTGTTGCGAGAGCTCTCACCTCTCGTGTTCCTACTTCAGGAGTGTTTATGCCTAAACACACATATTTGCAAATGACGGTAATTGTTTTGTTTAGCGCTCAGTGTGAGCTGCCACCGAGGGTGCCAGCTTGTCTCTCTCCTCTTCCTCTCTGCTGAGCTCTCTTATAATATATTTGTTTTCTACAAGGCGCGGATGTGTTTACAGGTACTCAGGGGAGATTTCTGGATTCCATTCAAATCATTCCCAGTCAGAGTGGGTGCTAAGATACCCCGTCACCGGGCAACCAGATCCAAGAGGGAGGCTCGGGCGATAATAACTTCAAAAACAGAGTGACAGATGCCTGATTAGAGAAAGAGAAGGAGAAAAGGGGTGGGGTGGGTGGGGGGAGATAAAGATAGACAGAAAAAAAAGAGATAATGGTATACAAAGCTGTTTAAAATCCAAATCTGTTGAAGAACTTTCTCCAAAAGCCAAATTGGCTCTCATATTGTCTTTTTCCGTATTGTACTAAAGAGAGAAAGGAAAAAGCGGCATTTTAAGTTTTCTTTTCTTTTTTTTTTCCTCCACATTTTAATCCTTCAGTGGGGATCT